GAGCGCATGAACGCCTGAAGATGCAAAATTAGTTTTTTGTGTAATACGTTATGGGTAGGAGAGAACAGGAAAATAGAAAGAGGAAGGGTGCAGCTAAATCTTGCCAGTCTCTCGATACAATTCAATGGGTCAGTAAAGTACCCGGTCAAGAGCTATCAGATGCTGACAATGACAGTGCAGTCTGCGATGACAGCCCAGCTAAAACCACGACTTCAGATCTATCTCAGTTAACTACAGTTTTACAGCAAGATATAAACGGTAAATCATACTCATTTTCGCAATGTCCACCAGTCTTGATCCCATTATTATGCTCTGAGATTTAGTCGCTACACCCACGGAGGCTGGAGCTCGGAACTGTTCTGACGGATTAGTTCCGCAGTATTTTGATGTATCATTTTACATCGTAAAATTACGCCTTTATAACTAAATTCAAACAGTTGTATTCAAAAAATGTAATATTCAGTTCCTACCGCGTTCTTTTCCGTTACAATTTCTCATGTATTGCTAGTTTCCTAAATAAACGGATCAGACGATAAAAAATACATTTCCGTAGTTGGTCCGCTTTGGCCTCGTTAGCACCCCCCCACATAAAATCCTGGTTACGGGCCCGCAAGAACTTATTAAAAATACAAGAATATGACTTTGAAGGTAAGAAAAGACTTCATGGTGTTTAAACAGCGTGATTTATTGTGAGGTGGTTTACTGTAGCTGACGTTTTGTACGCTCGAAGCTATAATCACCACTATAGAGGAAAACGAGGTCGTTTTGCACTGTTTTGTGATTTCACGATTTTCTCGCAAGACCAATTTTGCCGATAAATAGAAGTTGATTTATGGAGAAGAAAGAAAAGCAAATATTTTCGAAAATTGTATGTGCCAGCAAGTTAACAAGGCAAAGAACACTGCAGATATACAACATTCACCTTGATTGTAGCCACTGTTGACAGCATTGGAAGTGCCAAAAAAAACTTTCTCATTCATGGTGAGTTGACAGAAACAAATAAAGCTCTACTTTTCTTCTCAGAATTGGCTAGTAATTTAAATTTTCGGCGTTTTCTTTTAAACCGTTGATGCTAAAGTTTACATTCATTTTCCATGTTTGAAGATACTGTAAAGATCTAACTTTTGCGCATCCACTGTTTACAGCTTCGTGTTCACGCATGAATTCACCCGTCAAACAAACTAATAGTTTTTTAATGGTTTCCTTTCTGATTTTGTTGAGGTCACTTCGTGTGAATATACTAAAACAATTATTCACCTTAGGCTCAATAAAGTTGTTGAATAATCCGCTCGACTTCTTCTCGGGGATTATTCAACAATATTAACTTCGCCTTGGGCCAATAATTGTTAAATAGCGGTAGATGCTTTTAATACACTGTAATTTACAAAGTCAAATCCAAACTGAGACTAAATTATCTTCTTTAGATAAAGGTTCATGCATCAGCTAACATGGTGGTGGATTTGGAGAAACTAATCTCCCAGATTGTTGCTGACAATGCAACCAAACAAGAGCGGCCTACATTCTTACCAAGAGTGCAACAAGATATTCTTGAGAAATTAAGCCATAACGGACCAGGCAAGGTAAACCTAATGGAACATCATGTGCTTACAGTTCTAGACTGTTTGTTTTGAACTTATTGAATATTTTAAAATGTTTGTCATGAGTATGAACACTGTTCAGCAAAAAAATAAACGAAAGAAGAAAGACTAAACCCAAGAACAATAGGTAACTCTGCCACAAAATTATAAACACCTAATCGGGAAAAGAAAGAGAGATTAGAAATAGTCCTCAAAAAATGACTGTTAAATAGTTTTACAATGAAAATATTAAAATGATGGGAAAAACACAATACATGTTTATCACTTAAAACTCTAATATGTTTATAAGGTAGTACTAAATTAATTTAAACGTAGAGTTGCATTTATTATAACTAAAAGTAAATTCTTTTCAAATTTTAAAGGTTCTGAAATGGCTGAATACAGCTTGAAACGTGAAAAGGTTAGAGGATGAGGGTTTTGAGCCTGCCCTAGCTATAAAGTCAGACACAATAAGCAAATTTGACGGTGTATCTCGAACGGTAAGTAGCAAAAAATCAACCTTTTACAGCTGGTCTTATAGGAACGTCAATTTGTTATTACTTAATCAACTGTCTGTTATGCAGAAATCCACAACATTTCCTTTGGTGTCCGCTTGTGGGAATAAGTTTCCCACAAGCGAAGAGCTCTCCTAGTGGAAACTTTTTCCAATTTCTGAAGGGGGTCTGCCCACAATGGAAATCACTGTACCAACGATGGCTTGCTAGAATAATTGACACAATTTGCTACGATGACCATTTAACCCTTGTATTTTCTTTTTGTGTCTATTAAGGAGGTGACAGAAGAAATTAAGAGGATGACAGTGAACGGATTCAGCGTCACATGCAATTTTGCCTGAAATGAAAGGGCCACACTGAGAAATATTAGGAAAAAGGCTGACAGAAAACTGATGGGTAATTTAAAGGCCTACAAAATTCCATACCATCTGTTGAATCCATCATTTGTTGAGCACCTTAGACACGGTAAGTCCCTGCCATCATTGCATATTAACAACAGTAAGAGACCAACCATTAGACTCCACAGTAGTGTATCGTCAAGAAGCTAACAAGTAAGATAACTTACTCTACTTACTTTGGTCGCTTATGTACTATCAATAACGAATATTAAAAACAACATCAAATTCTTCCACAACATATCATAATAAATTAATTAATTCAAATTAAGCTCCAATAATTATAATAATAATCATAATATATTGTTCTGCAACCATAGTTGGTCGGTTTTATAAAATCTTTGAATTCACTGAAAATGCTTTTTTTCCGGCAATTTTGATCAGGTCCTAGGACAAGGAAATCCCTTTTCAGTCCCTTAGAAACTGCGGTTCACAAGAAGGTGCTAATGAGATCAAAATCCCCGTTTCTAAAGCTATTTTCAAAAAACCAAGAATGAAAGGTCGTACTAGTTACTATTTGCCATCAAGAGCTTGCTTTAATAATTGAAGAGAAATTAGCATTCTTAGTTATCAGGTATCCTTAGGTTCCAATACAGTTTTTTTATACCTCAAGATAATGAAGGAATAGTGTTCATTTGCTTTATTGAAATAATCAGCATTTTGGCCAAAAAACTTGTGCAGCTTAAACAAGCAGCAAACGAAACGGCTTCTAATTTCTTACCGTGAGGTTTAAAAATGAAATTCTTCTGCTCGCTCACTCCAAAAGTTTTTTTCAAATGATGCATGGACTCCATTATTCTAATGAACACTTCTCGCTACAAAAAGGTTTACCATAGTGCATTGCAAGCTATGAAACATGGATCATCTATCATTGATCATGCTTCACTGGAGCAACCTTGATTGAACTAGGTGTATATAAAAAGGTTCAACTGTTTATTTGATGAATTTCCAGAGCTTAGAACTTAAAGTAAATACTTCCAAAAAAAGACCGAGATTCCTCTAATACTGGGAGGGTACTGGTCAGCAGTTACAGCCTGTGGAGATGTGAAGGTACCTCAAGTGATCTAATGGCAGGCAAAGCAGACTGCCTAAAACAGCTCAATATAGAGGATGATGTAACTCCATAAGGGAGCAGCTTCCAGCCTCTCAGACCCTTGGGAAACATGAATAATTGAAAAATGAGACATTTGCCTGTAAATGGCAATAGGTAAGTTGGTGAGATCTAGTAGACCTGATTTTGTCCATAGATTTAACTGGACTAGGAATTTGACAATTTACTAAATTATTATGAAATTTCTAAAAAAGCACTGATTCGTTGAACAAACGCTGGTGTATGAGAGTATCCCAGCCTAAGGACTTAACAAGGCTGGAGGTACTTGTTGCAATGTTATAATCATTGCATACCAAGCAAGCCACATTCTTCTGAATTTGCTCAAGGTGCTTTATGTCAGTTTCAATGTAAGGATTCCCAAAGAGGATGCATATTCAAGCGTAGGTCTAACTAGCGTCATTTAAGATCTCTCTACAACTTCTATGCTGCATGGTTTCAGTGATCTTCTAGCAACACCAAGGGACTTATTTGCCTTTGCAGCTATCTTAGAGCAGTGAGCACCCCACCGATGGGGTTTCAGTGCATGTAACCATCCCTTCAGGGACTTTCGTTAACGCCTCCGAATTTGCAACTTGTGTGAAGTTAAACGATCAAACGATTTCCCCTCCACCTTTAGGATTGGCAGCATGGATCATGTCAAAACCTCTAGCTGGAGCGGTGGGAGTTTGGCCAAGGACAGACGGTAAATTATTACTACACTAATTTCGCGTTTTAACTCAAAGAAAAAATACCTCGACAGCAATAAAAAAAGGAACCATAGTCAGGCGTTTCATAAAATTTGATATAATTTTATAACTTTTTGTAAAATTTTATAAAAGTTTACAAAATACATTTTACAAACCTCTGTTGTTTGTAAAATTTTATAAAATTATTATAAGTTTTATAAGAATTGTTTTTCCTTTTTTTCCTGGTTTGTAAATTTTAGAAAATTTTATAAAATTGTACCTTTACTAAAATTAAAATAATATACCGTTCTGCACTTCACAACCTTTACCTCAATTGTGTTATAAATCTTTTCAAGATGTTAAAAGTAACATTCACTGACAGATTAAGACATGCAATTTGCATTCCACATTTCAAATTATCATAATCATTGTCACTCAAACTTGTTGGAGTACTTTTAAGTATAAACCAGTTTATTTTCTTTTGTATCCATGTACTGATCTAAATCTTAATATCTGAGACTCCACTACTCATGGGTTGATTTTCTTGAGTATTAAAATAATTTATTTCACTCTCAAATCATCTGCCCTTTAAGGTCCAGCTAATCCACAGGTTTTTTGTCATCACTAAAATGTAGAACAGTTTCATTGTTATAACAATTAAGATCATTTGCAGTGATTTATCTACATATTTCTTTCCTCTTTTAGTGGGAGGAGTGAAATGTAAATTTTAGTCCTTTTCATATCGGTTTGGCACGCTGGCTACAAAGCAACTGTTTTTGTTTTCCTTCCAAAAGTGCTGCTTTTCTGATGATATATGTCACAGGAATCACTTTAAAGCTGAAAAATAATACAGAAAGAAGGCAAATTATAGAAATTAACATATTGGATTAAGATGTAGACCTACATACTACATGCCTAATAGGGTTTCCGCTGGGGCATATCTACTCATGTGACATGTTTAGATCTGTCTTAAACAACCTAAAATATTTGATGGATTATAAACATGAATATTTATAGCATGTATTATTATGTACATGACTCCATGTACATGTATGAATGCCTGTATGTTCAGGTACATACATGTATTATTAGTTGAATATAATTTTTACCTAATCATTATTATCTATTGTGTTTTGCAACATTGACAGGATTTGCATTTACCTGTTATCTACAACTGCCCTTTGTATGTGGCAGTCATAATCCTTGTCAAGTGACAGGGTTGGAAAAGCCTTGTCCAAAAGGTGAATAGGCTTAATAACTGCCACAGCATTTCCAGCAGCAACACAGTATAGGAAATACTGCACTTCCCCAAAATGATGTTTTGTCAAGTACTCAACACAATAGCCACAGGTCTTCAACTTGCCATATTCAACACTATAAAAGACTTCCCCATTAAAAGCCATTCTGGTTACTTTCTCACTATTCATTGGTGTCGCCCCTGGCATGATTTCACCAACATCCTTCTCAATGTTTGCAGGGATACTTGGCACAGTCCGTTTTCCAAGTACACTCGATGCTTGTGAGGAAGTTAGCTTCAGCCCAACTACAAATCTTATAAAATGACATGAAAAACAAAAGTTAAGGCATGCCCTTCAGAACTTAAGACATGGCAACTTTAAAGCATCATTTTAATGGTGGTCACACTTTGAGTATTATAGGCTGACTTAGCAAGAGTACAGGAAAAGCAGTCTATGAAGGCACATGCATAAAAAATACCAAATTGTATAGGCATTTTCTATGCGCACGCCTTTGTCAATTTACCATATATGGATATTGTTGGTATGTGCACTGTCATCAACTGACATTGCTATTCTCTTGCAAAATCAGCCTAATGCAAGTGATGTAGAAGAAATTATAATAAAAAAGAAATTGTTAAGGAAAGTATGGAGAGATATGAAGAAAAAAACAACAACAAAAAAGCAGCAGTTAAAAATGTACGTAGCATATCAGTAGAAGTTATTTAAGTGCAAACCTCTTTGTAGTGCCAATCATCTTTTCAACATATGTTTGCACTTGTGTTCCTGGCCTTAAAAGTGGGGTCTGAGCCACCACTTGGCGGGACAAACAAACCATATAAAGAATCTGTCCGAAAGAAAAGTCAGATTAGTGAAAGAAAATGATAACAAAATTATTGTTACTCATCTACTGCGACGTACATTTTGTACAGGGCTGTGACAGATGCAAATTTATGCCATGAAAAATACATCTCATACTTAAAACACATGTATATACTGAGTTTTACAAACCAGTTGGTCTAACCAACTTTCATGAGCAAGTGAAAAACTAGTAAATTTTCAAAGTCAGACCATTTTGAATGTGCAAAAGAGCAACCTTGTGTAAAAATATTTGTCAGAAGGATAATAGATACACAGTGTCAAAAAGTGAGGAGATATGTTGTCCTTGGATAATATCTCTTCTCCAAGATTTGTAGATTTCCTTGAGCTTCGCTCTTGGAAAACTGTTTGCTTCTTGAATTAGGTTTAATGTCTACAGATGAATATCCCTGCTGAAAAAAAGAAATCATTACCTGTTCCACAGGATTTCTTGTTCCATGAACAAACTTAAGCAAATCACCATTTGCAGATTCAAAGGGGAAACAACTATAGGCCCAGAGTGGTCCCCAGTTCTTGACACATTCAGCAATGTGTTTTAAGTGGTGAACATTCAATCCACAAAAGGTTTTGCCTGTGGGTAAGGATTACTTTAGTTTAACTTCAAACAAGAACTTTGTGTGGAAACTGTTTCAATTCATGCTTACATAGAAGTGTTTGTTGAGCAATAAATCTGTATAATTCAGATAAATATACTGTCCATAATATCTCTATAATACTTCTACTTAACTAAATGTGTAAATTCTTTTTAAATCTTAACAGATTTCTGTTTCTGGCTTTGACAGCAAATATTTCTGTAATAGTTGTCTGCAAAGTGGAAAAACATTGTCTATTCCATTCCATTCCGTTCCATTCTCTTATTTATGACTACTTGTAGATCTGACAATTAACCATAATATAGTTCGGCATGAAGATAGAAATTCATCAGACAATAGTCTGCAATGATGATGTCTCTTTGGGTGATGTTCTCTTTCAGCAGTAGGTACACTGCATTTACAAGGTAGGTGAAGTTAATGAAGTATTTTTCAGGTAGAATTCCATCCAAGCAAGGGAGGCCATACTACAGGAGCCAATTTCTTAACTCTGATGCTGGAGACAACAAGCATAGCAGAAATAAAATTTATCAACTGAGTATCTGTGCTGTTAGCATGAGTGTGTTTAAGCCTAAATGTTGAACAGTACACTGTTTATACCTTTCCAATACTTCCGTGATGTTTCAATTTTCCTTGGAAGCCTTGTTATGAAGTCTGGTGGCCTCATGCCCATTAATCTCTTGTCAACATCCTCAACCTGAAAGGAAAATGGTTGCATCACAGCAAACTCATTCTGATTAATTATTTTATTATTGAAAACACTTAAAATATTAAGTCTACGACTCATATTATATAATTTGATGAATGGCACTTGCACTTTGTTACTATACAACTAAAGTAATGTATCCTCTTTCATTTTAGCAACAGTCATTTAAGCTGCCAGGTTTCACCTTTCTGTAAAAAATTGTTATACATATCCATCACTTTCTGTTCATAAGGGCACTTTTGCAGGCATTTGATGATTTCTCGGCCCCAAAGGTGCGGTAATTACCTTGTGTCCAATAAAGAAGTCATCTTTGTAATTCTTAGGAGAGAACCATTTGTCCAGCAGAGCACTAGTAATTCCAATAAGGATACCTGATAAAAAAGGAATTACAACTTCTCAAGAAATAGCTTTTTTGCGTCTAGATTACAGTATGTACATTGCAACTCCACTGCAGAATGAATAGAGTATTAACAGTCATTTTTTGCATGTATTCAAATTGTGATAAAATTTTTATTTCGCTGAAGATTAACATTTGATATATTGTAGTCAATGCGATCTGCTAAGAATTTAATTTTCACTCTCTCTCTCTACTGACCATGCATGTAATCAATCACAAATCCCTGAACAACATCAAACCAGTCAGCCTCTGCCAACACACAAAGAGATTTGATTCCCTTCACCTGTAAAGTGAAATTATTTCAAGAAATACTAAAAAAATGTAATTTACAGTTGTGAAAATTATACACAAGGAAATCAAAGTGGTATTATTAGCCACCAACATAATATTCGATAACAAGCAAATAACGAAATCCCAACCAACCATTTTTCCGCTTGCCATTGCTGCCTGTGCATCCATCTTCCACTGCTCTGAGCTTCTCAAGTTGCCTGTGCCATCATATGCATATGCATGCTGCTTTTTGCCCTTTTTGTTTTTTGGTGCATGCCCAGGATCATCACAGTACGAGCAACTGCAGTAGCCATTGTGCGCGATCATTTCAAGAATGATTGCTTTTGCTTGAAGGTCCGTAGTAAATAACAGAAATATTGCTCTGATGGTAATAGTTTCCGACTTTAAATCAACTGGCACACCTAGTAGTAGAGTGTAGAAGCAATGGTCAATATTTTTTACCTTCACTAAAATTGATTACCATTTAACTTTGCAATTAACTGGATCATTTAAAACTTTCTGGCAATTAAAAAAAATGAAAAAAAAGAAATCAGAACAAAACCAAAGCACTTACCCTCTTCTCTTAAAGCCTTCATGTCTTGCACAAAGGGGGAGAGGAAGGTATTCATTTTTGGTTTCTCTGGGCCAAACCAAACTCCCCACAGTAATATGTTTTCCTGCAAGAACCTCAGATGTGGAGGCAGTTCATTTACCACTTGGTACACTGGCCAAATGCCAAATTTGGTGGATTTAAAAACTGGAACACCATCTGAAAGTTGAAACGGATACATGAATTCCAGGGTTGTCACAACCAGCGCATTTCACCGTCTACTAAACTTAACTAACCCATAAACTATTTTAGCTATGAACATTTACCTGTGTTGACAATAAAGCTTATATTGTTCGGGCATGACAGAAACCCTTCACCCTGGTAAAATTTAACATATTCAGCTCCATCAGTGATGTCAGTTAGCAAAGACTCGTCACTATTCCTTCGTGCTGCAATTTTTTGTTTGTACTTTTTGATGGTGTCCCACACGTTGTCATCTGTGGAAAAAAAAATCATTATTAAGTATACTAAAATAAAAGCACCTGAATCTGATATGGATTATAACATAACATAGATTTAAAATAACATTGAGATTAAAAAAGTTAAATCATTATAGGGTTTGTACAGATCACAGATTTGTTTTCAAGAATCACAAATTCTGAAGCAGGATTTCAAATCCATTTTATAAAAAAAATATGACAAACACAGGATTGTAAGAAACTCACGCTTCAGCAATGATGCAACTTGTGCTTTTATGTTTAGGGTATAGAAGAAAGCTTGTTTTGACGTCTTTGTCTGATCTGAAGAACGCCTGCTGTCGAGCAAAAACCAAAATATTAAAAAAAATTTGAACCTCCATTTTTGACACCTTACATGTAACTGTACTGAACACATGTACAAGGTAGATACTTCATTCCTTTAACCATTCCATGTTGTTTTACAATCCATCTCATTCCCTCTCATTATTTGGTTTATCAAAAAACATTCAAGTAGAGTGCTCAGGGCAGAAAACTTATTTCTACTCCACTTGTTCACTAGACGTAAGTACACTAGGATGTTGGTTGTTTGAAAGTAGAATGAACTCGTTTAAATTCTTAAAAACTAATTAAAATACATGTATAACATTGAAGTAATTCCAAACTGTATCCTTTGCAAACCGCAACATGGCCACGATTTACATCGTGTTTTTTAAGCCTCTATTCATTTTCCTTAATGATATGAAAAGTGGATGTCTTGGATGGCTGCCTTGACCTCAAAAATTAACATGTAGGAACTGTGACACAAATTATCTTCCAATAGTTAGTAAAATTACCCATTACATGATGTTGCACGACATTCCTCCTCTTCACCTGAGAACAATTTCTTGCACTTGTGACAGCAGTCATGTTTAATGACCTCGAACTCCTCACCCTTTGTCTGACAGAATACTTTTTTTAAGTAATCCACTGAGTTGGCACCTTCATTGACATCAGGCATATGGAGTTTGAGCAGTTTGAGGACACTACTAAGTTGCTGATTTGAGGCACAAGTGCCAACAGCCCAAGACATTGTTGCCAGGTAACTTTCCATCCTTGACAGTTGTGAAGTTGTTTCATATTCACTAGGCGATATTTTCCACAAAGGTCTTTTAAACTCTGGATTTATTAAGTCTTCCAGTGACCTGTAATATCATAACCAACAGGAAAAATTAGCCAGCACTGACATCATGTTGATCTACGCTGGTGGACGGCAGAATTTTGAGCAAGTCCCCAATGCAATCCTAAAAGTCCTGGTGTATTTGTAATCAAATTCCGACCCTGCTCGCCCTTAGAGTTCCAGTAGTTCAGTGGTAGAGTGTCCGAACTAGAACTGGGAGGGTCGTGAGCTTGATTCACACCCGGACCTCGGAAATTTTTCTGAGCTTTCTGATGTTTGGAATTTCTTTCTTCTTTAATATCTTTTTATGGTGGATTACCTCCCTGAGTGATATACTCGGCCATTTCACTGCTTACTTGTATAAATGACTGGGGTTCGTGCAGTCTATTTTAACGTAAATATATACAACAATAGTGGCAAACCTAAAATGGTTCAATGTACCAGCCAGAATTAAGCTCTCATCATGGTCTTAGAAACTCAGACAAATTCTGCCAATTATGCTACGGGCATAAAAGTAATTGCTAGTTTAAATAGTGCTCACCTAGACCTTTTTTCCATTTCATGCTCACTTTCTTGATCGTCGGACACAGTTAACGAATCGTCATCGTCGTCGCTGCTAAGATAGTAGCTGTCAGTTTCCGATGAAGAAATGCTGTGGTCCTCGTTATCACTGAAGTTAATTGACTCGTTATCATTGTCGTACAACAGTGAGAAGCTATGTTCAGTTTCAGTATACTCTGCTTCGGTTTCAATGCCTGAACCAGTTTCAATGACAGCTGAACAGTATGACTGTTCGTCTAACTCAGTACTTATGCTCAAATGCGGGCTGTGCACGTTCGTAGTACTTGATTCATTTGTATCTTCAGTTACCTTGCTCTTTTTCGCTCTCCATTTGCGTCTGCTAAGAACACTGACGTTAGGATTACAAAGAAACCGTTTTCGCCGACGCTTCTCTACATTTATCAAGCTATCGTCGTCAGTTTCAACTTCGAGAGATGTCGCAGACAACGCTCTCTCCGGCATTTCAGACGCCATGTTTTTTCCCCAAAACGGCTGGTGGTGAACAAGTATCGCGGGCACCAAACTAGGCGCTTACAAGTTTTGGTGCGCAAATTTCCAAACCTTGCGTTGCCCTTGCCTTGGCTTGCATTGATCTGCATTGTGAGCTGACTCATGGCTTGTGCTGTGATTTCAGCTTAGTTATCTGTCCGTTAAAATTTAACTCCCCCGATGACATATTTCTGAGCAATTTAAGCATGAATTCCTTCGCTCTGGTATATTTTGATAAAGAGAAGAGATACGGCGCTGTAGCGGTCGCAACTATAAAAGGCGGCTGCAAAAATGTGAACAAAGGATCAGAAGTTATCGTCCTAGGTTCTACTTTTGACCCAGTGGCAAATGAAGAAATAGAGGAAGAGTGGCCAGCCAAGTTTGTTAAATTTGGTAAGAATAGACTCTTTTGTCTCTCTTGAATTGAAGCAGTCGTCTGTGATAATTGAACCAATCTGTGCAAGACCGGAGACACTTTTGTACTCTGCGCCTCGGCCAATACAATAGCAACAGCTTAAGAGAACTGTCTAATGTTTTTTTAATGATGTCTGTATTTTCATGATAATGGTAATTTAAAGTTATTCTTACTTACGCGTATATTATAAAATGCTCTTACCTAGGGAGCGAGAGAGATGTGAAAAGAGACGCGCCACGCTTTAACGAAAAAGCCCGCCATTTCGAAGAACTAGAGAGTTTAAAATCATCAAGAAAAAGAAGAGCAAACCCAAGGTACAATGACGGCGCAGAAAATGCAAACGAGGAAGTTACATTGCCATCAAAGGTTAAAAAAAAAAAAACGCAAAACAGGTAATATATTGAGTTTCATTCATGATAAATAAAAGTGATGCCAACTCTCCCGCTTTTGGCGGGAGACTTATGCTTTTTTTGCCTCGTCTCCAGCTCTCCTGCTTTGGTACATAAATCTCCCGCTTTTTACCTCCACTGAAATTAATATTGAATACTTAGTAAAAAATAAAACAGACAGTTTGAGATTTAGCCCATTTTTAGCTCAAAACTTAAATTTTTTTTATTCGCAGTCCGGTTTCTGGGGCATTTTTGCACGTATGTAGTCATTGACAAAGATTATTTCTAGCATCAAGTCATTCCCATTGGGGGCTGGGTCAATTTTTCGGGGGGGGAGTGAAAAAAAGACAGTCTCCCGAGTTTAGGTCTCCAGAGGTTGGCATCTCTGTACATTGTACGCGCTTATTTCAGCGTGTGAAATTAGGTTTCCTCGGGGGGTACTCGCAGTAGACATGATGGGGGGGTCCCACGGAGCAGCTTCATATTGTGCACCAAAAAAAGTGACGTGAGCTTGATATTTTGCACCCAAAAAATACCTGACATCAAAATTTCCCACCCAAACAAATACAAGAAGACTGATTTATATACAATGTATTGCCTTCTTTATCAACGTTTTTCTGGAGCTCACACGTTGCTTAAAATATTTGAGTAAATAATTTTTCCCTGACAGATGTGTAAACCCCCCAAAAATAAGTTTTCTCTTAAGACCCCAAGAAAAACATGACAGATCTCGTGACCCAAAAAAATACCGGTGGTGTAAAAAATAGCTCACACCCCTCCGCCCTGTTTAGTGGGAGTACCCCCCCTTCCCCCATGGGAAAGGTCCGTTCACCTTCACAAAAAGTTTAGCGTGCATTTGAAGGGGAGGGGGTATGACAAAAAAACAAATAAAAGGGAAAAATCCTACAAAACAAAAAATCCTGTATTGCAAATGATACTGGAAAAAATATCCAGCACCTAAAAATATCCTGCATAATAGGATTATGGCCAAAAAAAACCTGCAAAAAAAATTCCCACCCCCCACACCTTCCTCTTCACATTTCTAAATGGTGCCTCCCTTGCAAGGTGTTGAATATGACCAAATGAAAAAACATAACTAAGTGAATTCAATGAAAAAGTAACTGAAATGTTAAAAAATATATACTTAAAGTAAACTTATCAGCAGCTAGAACAAAGCCTAATATTGAATATATTTTTTCCAAACTAGCCATAAAAAGTTGTGTTTTTTTTCTTTTCTTTTGTAGCCTCTCCAAGAAAAAAACACCACCTCTATACCCTGCGAATCAGAGGATAACTCAGCGGATGAATACTTACCCTCATCGGATATAGAAGAAGATGAGAACATGTTCCTGGCAAAGATTACTAAAAGAGGTAAATTCTTTCAAGCAATGTGATTTAACAGACAACAATTTAAGTAAGTCAAAACAACTTCGGTGGAAAAAATTACTGTTTGACCTACAGATTTAATGCCTAACAAATTTCGTCTTTTTTTATCTTTTTTTTATGTCCAGCACTTGTGCTTGCAGTAACATGTAGTTTTTTCCGCCTTGTAGCTCGGGAAGGGAAAAAAAACTAAGAAGACCGTGCAAGTAAAAAAGCAGTACAAAAAGAAAAAGCCAGCACAACCAGAAGATACACATAAGGTATAAACCGAACTTGGGGGAATCCAGTGAGCCAACTGTAAAATGTAACAAATATATCAAATGTCAGTGATTGATCTTCCTTAAGTGATTCAACTCCAGAAATTATATTACAATTTACGTAAGTCACCTGGCTCATCAAAAGTCTGTTCCATTGGAAATTCTGCTGTTTGGAAAAAATTGGCATCTAGTTTTAAGATTCTGTGCAAAACTGGCTTCCTGGTAATCCTTTTGTTTTATGATTTCTGTAACTTGTGCAAGATAGATTCATATGATAGCTCAGATTGGTCAGGACCACCCTATAATATTATTATTTCGAAAGGTTGAGTTTGATCGTCCGGGTGAACGTAGTCCTGAATAGGACTGTTGTTGTCGACAGTAGTCACTGTCAACAACAGTAGTCACTGTCAACAACAACAGTCCTATTCAGGACTACGTTCACCCGAACGATCAAACTCAACCTTTTCAAATGACTTCTGGGTTCAAACCTTTCACAATATTATTATTATCATTTTTATGTCTACAATCTTGATGTACCAAAGGATCCCATTATTAACAGCAGTTAATGCAGGTCTTTAGAACCTGGGAATGGTGGTGTTAACATTGTTACTCAATGTTGGCAAGTACCTGATAATTAATGACCCTTTGTAGGATGACAGCAATGACAATTATAAGGAAAAATACTTGGAATTGCAGCTGCAGCTGCAGTTTCAAGAGCAGCTGCAAAAAGAAATTCGTAGAGAGAAAACTGCAGAGGGAAACGACAGAAAAGAAAGGGAAAGACAGGAATGGAAAGAAAACGAGAAATTAAAACAGAGAGAAAAGAAAAAAAAGAGAGAGAAGAATGGGAAAAATGTAGACTAGAAAGAGAGAAATTCCAACAATGGCAAGAGCAGCAAAACAGAAAACAGAAGGAAAGAGAACAGAGAGAAAAAGAAAACAAAGAGAGGGAAGAAGAACAACGAAAGGTGAGATAAAAGGAAATAAAAACATTAGAGAAAAAAAGGAAAGAGGAGAAAGAACGAGTGGAAAAACAGAGGCGCATGCAAGGGCATCATACTGGGGACAGCGGAGATGATGTTGGTCATATCAGTAATCCATCAGAAGAAGCAGAAGACAATGAGCTTGACTGGCTAACAGAACTGTCAGAAATAAAGCCCAAATGTGCAGGCTGCTCCTTCCTTGCAAAGCAAGTGTACCAGCTGCAAAAAGAACTGAAGGAGCTGAATGAAAAATGCCACAGGAGTAAGGTGATTTATACATCAACTTGAGTGCCCCCCATCCTTTCTTCATACCAAATGTCTTGCCTACAAAATTATAGGCAGCTGTTTATGGGAACGCATTGGCTAAGTTTTTTAACTCTTGTAATGACTTTATCTGTCCCACGAAAACTATTTGATTTACGCTGCTGTAACATCAGCTGCATTGCCTTCCAGGAAT